GAAGACATTTTGCTTCTCATGCAAGAAGCTTCTTCAGCTCTGACTGGATGGTGGGGAATGGAAGGATTTATACTCTTTGCAGTCAGCTGGTCATTTGCATCCTTTTAGAGAGTCATTGAGGTTACCTGGAGGTTTCTCTGTGTCACCCCAACCACCCAGTCAGTGCTCAAGAAGCTTCTTGGATGAGAAGCAAAACATCTTCAAAGAAAAAGCAGAAAATTTTCTCTTTCAGGTTTTTCAAGTTGCCTCTTGAAAAAGCATATTTGGGACAATCTCTACACAGGTGTCTGTGGGGTGGGGCCCCAAAAGCAACCGTGGTGGCTAGGAGGGTGTGATCATCTGATTTTTAATCCATGTTAAAACTTTTTTTTTTTACAAAACTCTGCAGGCATCCTTGTCTTTCTAGTACATCAAGAGCATTGTATGTGCTACAGAAACTCTGCATTCTTTCCCCTAGGTCTGTAGGCACCTGCACCAATCAGAAATAACCCGAGCAGCTGCCTTTTTGCTAGAGCTGGACAGCCCAGAGTTGGAGAGTTAAAACAGATCAGACTAGCCTTCCCCAATCTGGTAAATGTCAACTGGGTTAGATCTGTACGTTTCTATAGATACATTATTCTTCCAATTTGCCATGTATATGTCATAATAAATATAGCAGCCTTTAGAACTAGACTGAGTTTTCATGTTTGGACTTACTTCGCAGGTCTGCGTTGTATCATTCTCAATCTACCGTATCCCTTAGCTAAAAAAAAAATACTGCATCTCAAACATTAGGGATGAAAGATAACATTACAGGTAGTCCTCGACGTACGACCACAATTGAGCCCAAAATGTATGTTGCTAAGTGAAAAATTTGTTAAGTGAGTTTTGCCCCATTTTGTGTCATTCCTTGCTATGTTTGTTAAATGAATCACTGCGGTTGTTAAAGTAGTAACACCGTTGTTAAATGAATCTGGTTTCCCCATTGACTTTGCTTGTCGGAAGGTCGCAAAAGAGGATCACATGACTCTGGGACACTGTACCCGTCATAAATGTGAGTCAATTGTCAACTATCTGAATGTAAATCGCATGGCCATGGGGATGCTGCAATGGCAATAAGTGTGGAAAATGGTTATAAGTCACTTTTTTCAGTGTCGTCGTAACTTTGAATGGTCACTAAGCAAATTGTTGTAAGTTGAGGACTACTTGTTTTAGGTTTTCCAAGGTATTTGTCCTTAAATTCTTTTTTTTTTTTTTTACCGTTTTGTCCAATTTGATTCCAAGAATTGTCAGCAGTGGTATTTCTATCACAACCTTGAATCTACCCTACTGATTTTCTAGAGCATGGAATTTCACTCGGAGATTTGTCCGAATCCTGAAAAGAATTTTGTATAAATGTACACAGTATTAGTGTTGACAAAAAACACGCACACTGGAGCATTAGGAAAGTAAAGAATGATGGTATGTGAGCTCTGAATATTTGCAAGTTTGTATATAGACAGACATGTGGTATTTTGGAACCTTGCCAATATAGCTCTTTAAGAACTCCATGCTTCAAAAGTCCCAGTCAAGAATTATTAACATAAATAAATTAAGTCTGCTTTTAAAGAGTAGTGGAAATATAATTTAATTAAGCCATTAATCCTTGGCAGTTCTTATATCATATAGTATAAAGAGAATACACAGGTATGCTCCAGTTACAACTGTTTGTTTAGTGACTCTTCATAGTTACAAAGGCACTGAAAAAAGTGACTTACAACCATTGCAGCATCCGCACAGTCACATAATCAAAATTCAGATGCTTGGCAGCTGATTCACATTTATGACGGTTGCAGTGTTCCAGTATCATTTGTAACCTTCTGACAAGCAAAGTCAATGGGGAAGCCAGATTCACTCAACAACTGTGTTATTAATTTAACAATTGCAATGATTCACTGTGGCAAGAAAGGTCACACAATCGGGCAAAACTCACTTAACAAATGTCTCACTTACCAACATACATTTTGGACTCAATTGTAGTCATAAGTCAAGGACTTGTTCCCAACTTAACTTGCTTTTAAATAAAAAAAAATTCACTCGCTGTCATTTAAAGGTGATGATCTATGCCCCGACTCCCTTTCCGAGAAACAATTGATACGATCTTGGATAAGTGATATACAATGTGTTGATGTATTGGAGATGGTACCCAGATCAGGTTTGGCTTTGTGGTGAAACAGATTACGGCTTAATTCACATATTTAGAGAAGCTTCTGAAATGCAGTCAGATAGGAAGTCCAGTTTTCCAGAAAGGCAGTCCATTGTTGAAAAAGCAACTCTGGGAAGAAACCTTGTAAAACATGTGCATAACAATTATCAGGCACTACATCCCCATTTATCATCTACAAGAAATCTGCCCGCTGCATCCAAAGACTTATGGGAGGGAGTCATATTTTGAAAAGCTTTGGGGAATGCTGATCAGAAGTGGGATGGTCCGTGAACAGCCTATGCTGATAAACTGGTCATGTCTAGGCAATCACAGAGTACAGCTGCCGCACCAAAGTTCGGCTCTCGTTGCAAAATCTTGTGTTTCAGCTCACACCTGAGATTTTATTAAGCGGAAGAGTGACAGCCTAATCTCCATAGGTCGTACCTACTGTCACTATTCTCTGAATGTGGATGTGGAGAGTGGATTTGATATCCTCTGAATCCAAAGGGGGGGGAAAACTGTGCAACTTAAATTACCATTCCCACCTCACCCCATCTCTGTGTTTTAATTTGCATCTTCCACGTGAAGAACAAGCAAGCAAGAGGGAAGAAACAACGGAATATTACCGATGTGAAAGTAAACTTTCACTCATAGTAGATTCTTCTTCTTTTTTTTACGTAACTGGTATTTTGAGCAGCAAAAATTATAGAAGGGGAGCCCATAATGTGTTCTAATAGCGAGTATATACAGTAGATGTATATTCCAAAAGTTTCTTATTGATGGGAAGCAGAACTCTCACAGACAGTAGAAAAGAAAAGAATGCGCTTTGGGCTACTCCTGACTCAAGTCTCTTTCACGGAGGTTCTGGGAGCTGGAGGGCACACAATTGGGGAGGTTCTGGGATCCTCATCAGTGGTGAGTTGCCTCCTGTTCGGACTGGTTCGCAAGAACTGGTAGTAAAACCGGCGGGAGGCTCTGCCCACTGACCCGGATGTCATCAGAAGTGATTTGCGCATGCGCGGGCACGATGCGAGTCGGTAGTAAAGGTAAAGAGAACCCACCCCTGATCTAGAGGGCACCAGATTGGGGAAGACTGCCATAGTTTCCCATGAGGAAAATATTCCATTCCCATTTAGTCAGGAGAAAATAGAAGGTTGAACTCACTTATATTTTGGGATACTTTTGGACCTGATGTCCTCAGACATGGAGAATGAAACCTATTTACACAGTCTTGCTCTTTCATCTAGGCACATATCTAGTGCTTTGTTTCTTTTATAGCAAAGATGGAAGAACTAGAAACTATTGGGATTCCCCCCCCCCACCTCTCCCTCTCTCTCTCTTTTCTCAAGTGAGTGTTGATGCCTGGTGACTTTTTGGTGGCTGTCCTTGCAAGATTTTTCAGTAGTGGTTTGCCATTGCCTCCTTCCTGGAACTGAGGGAGAATGACTGGCTAAAGGTCACCCAGTTAACTTCATGCCTAAGGAGAGACTAAAATTCACACAATTTCCAGCTTGGGGCCTTAACCATTACTCCATACTGACTCTCTTTCTCTCATTTTCCAACTTCAGTTTTTACTCTCTTTTCCCTTCTCTGACAATCCCTTCACTCCCTCCCTCCCCAACCAAGAAAACTGCTGGAGAAGGAACAAATTGCTCCTGCCAGGGCTCTGAGCTGATTTTTGGCAGAGGTCTTTCAAAACTGGGCTGAGAGCTGTATAAAATTATGCTGGAAGCTGCAGCTTACCAGCCCCAGTGCAAAGAAATTTTGGAAATGGAATTTCACAGAAAGAGAGAGAAGGTTATGTCAGCTGTATGGAACCCCTCAGCAAGTGAAGTAGCTGTATAAATTCATGCAGCCTTGTTGATGTTGTTAGACTGTTTCACACGCATATAAATCTTGTTACATTAAAGTTTTATATGCTTTAGTGACAGGCACCCTGGACATACTGGAAATATCACATGATTATCTGAGGTTATTTTAAAAACAGAAAATAAACACTGATTTCAGCCTCAGATTTCCTGAGCTGGTGATTCTTTTAGGAAGAGCTGAGTAGCAACAATTTTCCTGGCCCCGTCCCCATTAAAATGATGGCTTTTTGCCAGTTGAAGAATCTCGGTGGAATTTGAATGTTTCCAGACTATAAATATATTTTGTAGGTTATTCATCAAATTATCAAATAGTAATAAACAGGATGATCCTTCTCATATTTGCCTTTCATTCAACACGCACTGGCTTTCCCTCTGTTCCTCCTCATTCCCTCACATAACCCCACCTGCACTCCAACAATTGGAATCCCTTCAAAAGTCAGAAAACTTAGCATATGTTTGCTAAGCTAGACCCAAACTTTCTCCCCTTCTTTGTGAGAACTCAGTGGGAGTTATCAGATAATTATTTTATGACAACATGGCAATATTAAGAAGATCATAGAAGGAAGACTGATCAAATTCCTCAGGTTTTAAGGCACCTTACAAGTGATCTAATTTTTAACACAATAACAATTAATAAAGCCAAGTTATATACAAAGTGTGAAAACATCAAATGAAGCCTCCTTTCTCAGATATGTATGTATTCTTGGAGGTAGCAATGTTCTTACTGTATCTGGACTGCCAACTAATCACATTTTTGAAATCACACAAAAGTCACAATGAACAAAAACTTAAGGAAAACACAGGGGTTTTTCACAATTCAGCACCAAATGAGCACTTGTTGTGCAATGTCTTTTATATGGAGAACATCCCTGTCCCCTCCCCCCAACTAGTTTCTGCATCAGACAACTGATGGTTTGGAGCTGCCATATAACCTATGGAAAGAGTACAAAAGAGATGGCATGACATACCATGAACAGCTGCAACAACAGCACCAGCAGAAGCAACACGTGTTGTTGGCCCTTTGGTTTCCAGGAGCTTGAGACACAGCCGATGTTCCTTCATTTTGGGACTGTTGCCTTTTTCTCATCTCAGCTACTTCAGCACCCCTGTGGCTACAAGAATGTAGACATAAGAGAAAATCAAGGGAATGCAGCTAAACACATCCCAATAGCTCAGACCCACCTTCAAGCTCAAAACTACAGATGCCATCAACCACAGCAGGGTTTAAGAGATTTAACAGAGGCCAAATTTAATCTCTGTAGTTTTGCTGTCCCTAATTAATAAAGTAGGATTTCCTTTGGCAGAAAAAAGGAGGGAAAATTGCAGTGTAGTAATCATAAAGGACCTCTATCCTTGAAGGAAATGTTCCAGGAACCAAAAGATTTTCCTTTCTCTTCAAATACTTTCATGTCTGTGGGGAATAAGGCTTGGCAGCATTTATCTACCCACTGGACAGTTTTACCTTTCTCCTAATTCAAGTTTTGCCCTTCAGACCGAGAGAGCAAGAATTCAGGTTTAAGGACATTCTATCCATCCATGAGATGTTTGGAAGATGGTTCCTTCCTTCCCCAAAATAATTACTTTGTGTGGATATTGGGATTGGGTGAAGCAAAAGGGTGACATGGCAAACTTCCTTGCCTGCCCAGATGTTTTTGAAGAGCAGGGCTGGGATAGGCAAGGTGATCTTCCACAGAGATCTTGGACTTCAATTCTAATCAGCCCACCCAATGGCAATCAACTGTGAGAACAAAAAGAGCCAAATGCCTATTGTTGGCCCAGAGACAGTGAGATTATTAGGCTTTGAGATTCAGACTGCAGAATTTAACTAAAATCCTTCACAGGTTCTTTCTTATTATTCAATATTCATTTAGCTTCAGGAGCTCTTTTTCTTATTCATAATTTCTGAAGTGCATCTCACAGTTTATGTAACACTAGGTAATATTTAAGACAAAGTGATAAAACTGTTGTAGCATTTTGCATTTTCTGTTCAGAAAAAGAATTGTACTGGAGATACCCAGATGTAGGCATTGTTTACATGAAACGTGACAATGAGCAACAGAAGAGTATATCTAATATCTAGGTAATATAGGAGATTATGGCATTGTACAATTCACCTTTATAACATGTGAAATGAGATGTATGCTACTATCTAGGACAGGGGTGTCAAATTCATGTCATCACGGCAGCATCATGTGATGTATCAGGACTTCCCCCCCCCTTTGCTAAACTGGGTGTGGGCATGGCCAGCACGTGATGCATCCGGACCGTGGGCCAAGAGTTTGACAGCCCTGATCTAGGAACTCTGTTCTGCCAAATCCTTGGCTATGTCATTGTTACTATTACTACAGGCAGAATATGATATTTGTTCAGATTCTGGTGGTCTATACATGAATCAGATGAATGATGCATAGGTCTATATAATGAAGGTAACATTGTTTAATTCTGAGTATCCCTGCTGCCTCCCTCATCGCCAAATTATGAAGCAGGATTCTCCTGTCTGAAAGAAAAAAATCTGCATTTTTTTGGGTATCCTTTAGAGATATCCATAATAGTTAAACTAGGTTAAAACCAATTAAGTGTTCTCTTAATTGGTTTCAGTAGAAATTTGTCAATAACCATATTCAGTATATCATGTTATCATATGTTCCTTTCTGTCTGGTCCAATATATGTCTTCAATATTTAAGGAAACAGGAAGACCATATTTAGAAGATCCAATATATTACTTGCTGTCTGGAGCCTATGCAAATTTATGAATGATTTAAAAAACCCATCAAGGATAGATGGATGAATAGATAAAACAATTTCCTACAGTTTGTATCCATGTGTACTTATGCCCCAAATTATACCCTACTTATTTCAGTAGTCTAAATCTTTATATGACTTCTACTTTAGATGGGTCCAAAGAATAGATCGAGTGTTTATGGGCAACATATTGATAGTGAAACAACCAAGAATTTCTATTTCTCAGAGCACAACTGCACATATCATTTATTCCAGCAACATCCTCTATTAGTTGACACTAATATTGGTATTGTCATTTCTACTTAGAGGAGCAATCAATCAGCTGAACCACTGATGGACACCATTAAGCAGAAGCAAGTTAGAGAAAACGTTATTATTAATTTCATTTATAGACCAAGATTGTTTTGTGGTCCTTTATAATTAAACAGCAAGCTGCCCTACGAAGCATAGTTCACTGTAAACTGCATAGAAGCTGCACAGACGCCTGCTGCCATATTTAGGAATAATTAATTTCCACATACTGCATTCTGCCCGTAAAAGTAATTAGCATGGAACGATCCCTGTGGCCTTGAAACAATGTCATGAAATGGAATCTTGACAGTTATAGGACTGCCACCAGCACTGTTAACCTATATATTCACGCATGCTCCACCCTCCTCATTAACACTCACAATTCTATGACTAAGTGTAAAGTGTAAAGACCGTAGCCAGGGCCAGTTCTACAATTGGACAGAGTGTAGCAATTGTTTCAGATAACAGTTGCTGAGAAGCCATAAACCCAGTGGTGGGATTCAGCCAGTTCACACCACTTTGGGAGAACCAGTTGTTAACTTTCTGAGCAGTTTGGTGAATGGGTTGTTGGAAGAAATTATTAGGGCAGAGAACTGGTTGTTAAATTACTTGAATCCCACTACTGCATAAACCCTTTCTCACCGAAAGGGTGAGAAATTGTGCATGCCAGAAAGTCCCTCTTGTCCATTCCATTACACAAATAAGTTATTGCCTCTGGGGGCAAGGGAAGATGCTTTTTATTGCTAAAGCTGCTGATTTCTCTGTCTGAAGCAGCAAAATGTCTTGAGATGATCATGATTTCGGCTGAAAAATCTGGTTCTGATGCATCATTGATTTAATTTTTTATTAAAACTGAAAACAGGACAATGGCCAACAGGTTAAAATTGAAAGCAAGGCAATTTAGGATGGATATTAGGATATATTTCCCAACAGAGCAGAGAAGAAGAGTTGTGGTTCGTTCCTCTGAAGATTTTAAAATTTATTTAGTGGGTTCCTCCAATGAGCAGGTATTGGACTAAATATCAGTAGGCTTATATATCGCTTCACAATGCTTTACAGCCTCCTCTAAGCAGTTTACAGAGTCAGCATATTGCCCCCAACAATCTGGGTCCTCATTTTACTGACCTTGGAAAGATGGAAGGCTGACACAACCTTGAGACAGTTAGAATCAAACTCTGACAGTGAACAGTGAGTTAGCTTGCAATACTGCATTCTAACTACTGTGCCACCGCCGTGGCTCTTGCACTGCTCCACACCTTCATAAATTCTATGATTCTATGATTTTCTGTATGAGGATAGACAACTTACTTCAGGTGATTTGAATTACAACTGTTATAAATTCCAATAGTCAGGAACTATGCAAGTGGCATCTAAAACATCCTGATCTATGCACTTCTATTTTCTACAGCCAGTGCCCATAATTCCTTTTGTAGAAAACTGTGATATAACCTGACCTGTATTTTGATTATAGCATCATTTTACCAGAAACAGCATCAATTACCGCATGCAAACAGAAAAAAAAAATCACGAATAAAGGCAAAAAAACCAGAGAAAATTCAACGTGAATACTGATTTGATTCATTCCAAACCATCAGCTTAGATTGATTTAGTTAAGATTTCCAAACTAATCTAGAAAAAGCCATTGTTGTTGCATATACAAAATTATCTGAATTGATTCTATAGAATCTTATTTGATGATTCAGATCAACTATCCAATTCAATTCAGAAAGCTGGTTTGATTTGAAGATTTGATTGGACCTTTGACTTGAATATCTAAACCAATCTACATTAGGATATAGCCTTAGCATTTATCTTCTATTCAACCCTTATTACATTCATTTTCCAAAGAAGTCAAAGACCGGTAGTGCAATATTATTTTAACTCCAGATTAATCCCAGTTACTTCAGTCCAATTCTAATGAATGTGTCCAGGATTACAATCAAATGTAGTATTCCTACTCAACTTATTTAACTTCAGTAGGGTAGCCATTGTTCTCTGACCATTTTAAATCAAGTTCTCTCCTCTTTTGTCAATTAGATTCTAAAGAACCATTAGCAAAGCTTGTCAATATTAAATATGCACCATCTGGCAAACAAGAAGACTTCTTTTTTGAAGTTATGCCACATATACACACAAAACTTTTCCTTGACAGAAAATAGCCTTTAAAATCTGTTGGGTTTTCTGTTTTTGCTTCTGCTTCCCTTAGTTTTTATATTTCTCTCCACTGTTCATTTAATAACACTTTTAATTCAATATTATATACCTGGAATATTTTTTTGTCCCCTTGAATCCCACTTTGACCCTAACTTTCTACAAAGTGAACAGTTCAAATATCATCATGAAAGTTGTCTAGTAGTAGTCAAGTATTGAAGCAAATATTCTTCTTTTCTACTTTTGTATTCTCCTCTTTTGAAGAACAAAACCCAGTACAACATTCCTAGAGTGACAAGACCACCTCTTAGTAATAGAAAGAACAATGTATGTGTTTTTGACTAAAATTGCCATATCCTTTCCCAAAATCAATACTACTGTAGTGGAGAGAAAAAGTGCTATGGGGAAAAAATACTCGAGAAAGAATGGATTTGTTATAAAGAAAAATACAAGGAAAGCAAGTGGGCACAGAAACTAGAAATGGATTTAAACAGAAAAACTCTAAAGAGCCTCATATATGTTTTTGTGGGTAATCCGGATAGTAGAATAAGAGAGGAAAGATATTTATTGATTTTTTTTCTATACCATGTGTGATTCTTTTCACTCCTCCTTGAATTAATCCTCCTCTCAACATTTGCATTTCTCTATAGAAGTGCCAATATCACTTTTATTAAATCAAGGATATAGATTTATTTTTTTAAAAAAAAATATATCTTGGTATCCTTAAGAAGTCTTGGGCTTCTTAAGCCTTGGGATGATATTCCATGGAAGAGGAAGATATACTCCAGTGTCAATCATTTGGAGCCCTAAAGGATAAGAAGAGAAACAATACTGTCATCTGTGCCAGCCTAACATTAGGATAGTTGTTAGAAAGGATCACTAAATACTACAAGAAAAAAGCCCCTGGTTAATCTCTATAAATATCTG